TGACAGCGAATTTATGTAACTTCACTCTTATTTTTTGGTCTAACTTGACCGGGCTAGAGATCTTAAATCTAGCTCGGATATTACGGTCCAAAAGGAATTTGAAGAATAATCGACAGAATATAAGAAAGTAGCCATCACTTTCTATACGGACGGATCTAAAGGTGAGAAAGATTTTCTTTATTATCTTATAAGATAAGGAAAGGAAGATTTTCTTATCTTATTATTCTTATCTTGCAAATTTATATCTTGATCCATGCATTTCATTGCTTCGGAATTATCCGACTTTTATGTGGTATTATGTATATACTGAACTATAGAGATCTGATTTGCTTTGTAGTGAATTAATGCTTTACTGTTATTTTCATCAATTGTTGCATATTATTAATACTTTCGGAAATTCTTCCGTCTTATATTTTATATCCTATGTGTTATATGTTATACTTTGCCAATATTATTGGATGTCTCTACTATGTTTTCATGTTTTCTTAGTTTAATATTTCTTCTTTCAGTCTTTTTCTTCTTCTGTCAAGCGTATTTCTACAATCTTTACCTTTATATTATATTATTGTCTCATATTATTCCAGATTAAATTAAGTTTTTCGTGTTATAAATTTATCTTTTGTTAGACTATTAATTTTTCTATACATACATATATGTATATAGTTGTGTGCTTGTTTTCTCTTTCATAATTCTTTATATAATTTATTATATTAATTTTAAGTATATTATAGTTTCTCGTTGTTCATTCAGATAATTCTATAATATTTTTCTTGAATTATCACTTTACTCCTAAAGTTCTTTTTAGAAGGGAATAAAAGAAAAAAAAGACTCCATCTATTTTTTTTTCCTCTTGGGCACGGATCCATTGTTGAGATCGGTTGTTAGTTAAATATGATAAATAATATCATTATTTAAGTAGCTTGAGGCTTACTTGCCTATTATTATTATCATCAGTTTATCATAATTTTTTTTTTCTTTATTGAAACATATTTTTGTTTTGTAATTTACTCTAAGTTTAAGCTGCATTTAAACATCTCTAGAAACTTACATTTATATTATATAAATCATATTATTACTATGTCTAAAAATAAAAATCCTAAAAGCAATTCGTCTTCTAATGGAAAGAGTGGGAAGAGCAGCAGACAACGGGAACTCTCTTTTGAGACTGAAACATTTTCCTCTTTTCTAGAAGATTCGAATATTTCAAAGAAACCGAAAACAGATTCTTCTTCTTTAATTAATCTTCCCCCTCAAGAAATCACTCTCCTTCTATAACTATGGAAAGGAGAAATTATATCATCGACAAATATATTCCCTCTATGTCCTCGGCTCCAGAACCACATGAGAAAATTGTAGTTGAAAATACTGGCCCACCTATGTTGAACAAAAATAATAACAATTCTAAAAAATTTGATTCTATAAATTCCTAAAAGAAGAATAACAGATATACTAACAATAATAATTTCCCATATTTAGTTCATAGAATCTATTGATGAAGAAAATTTTGGCAATCTCCATCCAGTTAGCTTGGGCAGCTACTTATTGAAAAAAGGAATTAACATCTGTAATATTCGTAGACTTGGTAAAAAAATAATTGGGATTTCTTTTAAAACAGCTAATGATGCTAATTGCTTCATCGATTCTTCTATTCCCTTACCCTTTAATTAGATTCCTTACATTCCTAATTATAAGATTTTTAGAATAAGGATTATAAAAGGTGTCGATAATAAGCTCTCAATTGACAAGATCAAAGAAGGTCTATCGTGGCCGAATGGCATAACGAACATCCATAAAATTGAAAGATAAAATTCAAAAATAAAGATAACGATAGAATTAACGAGTGTCCTCAAAGAATCTATAGTAATTAAAATTGAGTTCAATTCTATTCTTCTGTCCGAATTTATCTACATATATTGAGTAAGATTTAAAGTCTATCCCTTTATTGGTAATGTTAGGAAATGTTCGAACTGTTTACGATGGGGACATTCCTCGGGTTTTTGTCGAGGTACAACAATTTGTGCAAACTATGGAGGCGATCACGACTATAACACATGTTCCAGTACGGATATTTCTTGTGTAAATTGTAAGGGTAAACTTCACTCTCTGAGCTTCTCTTGCCCGGTTTATTCCAAATTCAAGGTCATAAATTCGGTAATGGTTCACTGCAACGTTTTTATTCTTGTAGCCCAATATGTTTTCTTTAAACCGCATTTGAAATTTTGAAATTATAAAAAAGTTAACTACTTTTGTATGAAAAACATCATTTTTCGGCACTTTCTTCATTTAAACTGGTTTTTTAATAACTTCTGATTATGAAAATTGAATTCAATTAATATTATTCTCTTCGTTATTAAAAGACAAAGAGATTGATATATTTTTGAACCTTCTAATATACATATAAAACATTTTACGCTATAATAAAGAATACATTTGTACCCGTTTTTCGATTAAAAAGCAAAAATAAATATTTCAGTTCTAGGATTAATTAAAGTTATTGTTGTCTACAAATGAATTGTTTTTATTTATAGATAAAACAAACTGCATAAAATTATTCGCCAATTTATGATAATAAAATAATAAGATATAAGATATATATAAGATATAAAACAGTTATAATATAATAGTAGGTAATATAATAAGAACATAAATATTAAAATTAAATAAGTATTACTATAAAATTACGAAAAGTGTAATAAATAACAACAGATAAAATATCTGTATAATTAAAAAATATGTAATTATTGTTGGATGGATTACCCTAGTCTATAAATTCCCTCAAAGCATTTTTTCAAATGTGGTTGAACACGAAGTGGCTCTTTAGTTTCAGAAAGAATCTCGAGCATATCGTCATTACTAAGAAAGAAAAAACGTGGGAAAAATAATCTCTTCTTCTCAAGATAATTCAATACACCTGCATTGATCGTCTCCATCAGTATATTTGCCTGTTCCATATTTTCTAATAATCCTATCTGTGAAAAACAGTTTTATCGTTAATAAATGTTGGAATTAGTAAATTTGAAATTAAAGCGTTTTGTTCTATATCTAGGTAATCGATAGTCGAAGGAGCCATATTTGTATCGCGATTAATGCTGAGTCGTTTTCTTCGTTTGTTCTTGACTCTCTCGTTACGCCCCGTTGTACTGTGTATAAAAGAGAATTCTGTTTCCAAATATATATATTCAGTATACTCAGTACTCTTTTACTCATATATTCCACTGTGATCCCTAAGCTTACATCAATAAAGTAAAATTTTACATATAAAAAAATTATAATACTTTAATTAATGAGAAAAAAACATAATCACATGCATTAACATTGCATTAACATTTAACAATTAACATTTAACCCGAATTGCATTAATAATTTAATTGAGATGTGTATAAAAAACGAGCACGCCAAGTTTCTGCTTCACTTTGATCCCATTGGTCAAAATAGTCACTTTAAGCCTGTTTTATGAAACTTAAAAATATTGGGAAAGACAATGACATTAAACTTTTGCTGCATACTTTTGGACGGTTAAGCGGTTTATTAA